TTTGTATCAATTTCGTTTAAGCACATGCAGACACACAAAATATATTTACGATGAAATGAATAATGCGTTTCTTGATAATAAAATCAATTTTCTTTTCAACGCCCAAGATTAAAACTGTGTTGTTAATTTAGTTAATTTGTTAATTTAGGCGACAGAGAAAAGTAGGAGCAATTTCAGAATTCCGAAGTTTTTTCCTTTGTATTTCTGCCAATAATTGTATCCAATGAGTACCAGGTGCATACCGGGCCAAAACCGTAACAAATGTGTACGGACGATCTTCCTTCTTTTTCCTTGTTCTCTTCTTTGCTCTCACTTACACCGCATTACCTTACATTGGCAACACTAGACTGGAGCTTAGACAGTGTCCCTGCTGGGGCACTGGTGGACGATACCTTGATGGAAAAAACGCATGCCGATGTGTAGGTTGGTGTTAGATCTCATCATCCACTACACAGCCACATCCCTTGATAACAATATTAACTACACTTACAGGACTAATGCCCATAATCGTTGACGCGCCTGCAAACACCAAATAATCAATCTAGTGGTGCTACCGAATTGCACAGACTTTCTCGTACTAGTTTGTCTTCTAATTTCTTTTAGTCTGAGCTAGTTCTGGCATACCCCATTCTCTTGACAGCTGCCATCTATCGCTGCCAGAATACATTTTTTTGAAATTTTCTCAATTTTTGCGGTTTCTTAATGGTAGATTTGAAATATTACTTTTAAAATTTTAAAATCCAGTAAAACCTCGAACTATATGGAAATTTTCATCGAAAAATATGTATGGTTTAACGTTAGTGGAGTTAACAGACGGACGCACCGGTAGACAGTCAGATGGACGGATGTTTTTAAAAAAACATGTTTTCGGTATCAGGGGACCCCAAAACGTGTACTACACGCGCAAGTCTTCTTCATATTCCGCAGCGGGGGGGGGGGCAGGGAGAGGAGGACTATTTACGTCACGGCTTAAAAGGGCGTACCAACTGTGGGCATGAACATAACGCCCCACGTTTAATACGATTGTTCTGAAGGTACGATGTGGTTGTTGGCAGCATTGTAAATTGGTACGTGCCGTTTCGAGTTGAACCTAATTATTTCAACGGGCCGTGCTATTCAGCGCTGGGGAGGACTAGGGAGCTCGTGTATCAAGAAAACTTGCGCGTGTAATATTTCCTTTGAAACCTCGAAATAGATTTTCCGCATCATTACATAACTTTCGTTATACTACGTGTAATACTCAGTCAGTATACGAGAAAGTAAAAATCCGACCGTCCGGACGCTAAAGGCTAAACCCCAACATTGATAATTCCCTATCAATGTAACTGATGTAACGGCCTCTTGATTTTGAAACAGATATTTTGAGTTTGGGATGTACTTTACATAAACGCTCAATATTTTCATAATTTTCTCAACAATGGCTCGAAATTATTTGTTAAATGTTTTCGTCCGCTGGAACAAAAACGCTTAGAAGAGAGAGGTACGTTTCATTTTCGTTGAATTCCAGAATTTTTGAAAATTGAAATAGATCAAAATTCTTACGTCGCCTTGCAACTATAGTAATGAATCTGAATGAAATCTGTTCTTCAATATTGGATCTTTAAATAAGGTTATGCACAATTGTTCGAAAATACGAGTAGTTTTCGGGTAATTTTGCGTGAAACATTAGCAGCCAGCTGCTAACATTCTCCTCCAGACAGCAACTGAATTCGATCTAGATCACAACCTAGTGTCGAAAATTCTGCCACCGTCAGGACTGGAACCTAGGACCTCTCGATCAGAGGAATGCATTGACATCAGTTGATGGCCTGAGATATATCCTTCAGTGGACACTTAGAAATGTAGAGAAATGCTTTCCAGGGCTAGTGAAATGTTTGAATGCATTAGTTTTAAAATAATTAGATTTCGCATATCATACGTTTCGATTGGTAATGAACTTTACAAGAAATGACTGAAAAGTGTTAATAGACAGCAACTGAATTCGACCTAGATCACAACCTATGTGTCGAAAATTCTGCCACCGTCAGGACTGGAACCTAGGACTCTCGATCAGAGGAACTGCATTGACATCAGTTGATGGCCTGAGATATATCTTTTCAGTGGACACTTAGAAATGTAGAGAAATGCTTTCCAGGGCTAGTGATAATGTTTGATGCATTAGTTTTAAAATAATTAGATTTCGCATATCATACGCTTCGATTGGTAATGAACTTTACAAGAAATGCTGAAAAGTCTTAATATAGGCAAAAACTGCGTTATAAATTTAGTAACGTTACTAATGCAAGAAAGTACCACTATTTCCTTTAACTTTTTGCTCGAATACGAGTCAAGTTCTCTTAAAAAATGTTGGCAGAGATCCTATTTTCATTAAACTTCTAGAGCTTTAAAAATTCAAATTTGTTTCAAACTCATTAAAAACCTTTAATATTGAAGCTACATATTTCTTCAACATATAATGTCTGTATAATTTTAGAACCAAAAAATAAAAATAATTCTTATAAGAATATCCAGCGGCAATTTTAAAAATCAAATAAAGACAAACCCTTTATTGAAAATCGGAAGATGAAATAATATGAAAATAATGTGAATTATAAATGAAATTTTATTCTGAAAATATATTTCTTTAACATGGTTAATGCGAAATTTTGAATATTTAAAAATCGATTTTTTAGGAATAATATA